TATGTGATAGCAGATTTAGTTCTGGGTCAATGTCAGTTTGCATGCAGTGAGAATAGTGAAGACTGTTTAAGGATATTTAGATTCTAATATGAGGGAGTTGAGTGACAAAAGGGTGAAAATTAGATAATTCTCTATAATATTAAAACAAACAAAAATGTTGTTGAATACAAAGTACTTAAATTTAAAAATAATAATATGGTAATGTAAAAATAAGACAGAGAACTGAAGACAAATATGAGTAAATAACTCCTGGTTTTTTAGTTATATGAGAAAAAATAGTTAAATATACATAAACACGATCAGAACAAAGTGAAATTGATTGTTAGTTTGACTGTAATTTCAAGAATAGATGATGAGATTCAAGTTGGTAAGTAACCAGGATACAGCAGTTAGATACATTATAAAGAAGGTAATTGCATTAAAATAATTAATCTAGGAACAATTACAGCAAAACTTAAAAGTATGAAAATAAAGTAATATTAAAAATAAAACTGAACTGATATCTAATGTTATAAATAAACTGAACTGATCTCTAATATTATTGAGCAGAAATATATACTGTATCTCCTGAGCTAATCATTGATAAAGTACAAATTGTTAAGTGTTAAGTACAAAATAAAGATCTGAACAGATAATAATGCAGCTGGTTTATTTATGCAATATAAACTGACAAAATAAAACAGAAGTGAACAAAATGAAAATTTTATGATTATTAAAAGAAGTAAGGATAAGTGAAATTAAATTTCAGACAATTACTTAACTCGGAACCGGAACACTAAACCTGGGAACAATTACAGTACAAAATAACAAAATAAAGATGTGAGCAAATGATGACACAGCTGAACAAGGATGTGTAATAAACTGACAACAACTGAAAATCGAGTAAACAAAATTGTAAAAAATGGTAAATTTATGTGGTAAATGAACATTTTATAATTATTAAATAGAATACGAACAAATAGACTAAAATTCAATACAATTGGTTAACTAAGAACCAGATAACTAATTAAAAAAATTATTCCTTAACTTATGACTGTAATACACTATTATCATATAGTAATAAGAACACTTTGAAAAGATCTACAGTGAGACAGACACAATAGACTGTATAGTGTCTCTTCTTGAGGTTATCTTCAGATGATTTCGGGGCTTAGCGTCCCCGCGGCCCGGTCCTCGACCAGGCCTCCTTTTCTATGCCTAAATATGCACAATATGCTAATATATAATAATATTAATTTATATTTGAGAAAATTCCTATGGCGAATTAACTGCTTATTAAAACAGATGAATGTATCTTTGGGGTCGACCGCCGGATGGAATGGATTTAGTCTAAGGGCAGGTCGTGTTTTTCAATCACAGACAAGAGATTTGGCGGCTGGGTTAACGAACATTTGGGACGAATTGCAAAAACGACAATTTACCTTCGGCCTGTACTAGTGGTTTGGGTCTGCCATCAGTCCCGGGGCGCCTGTTGTTGACGTGTCCGTGGTGTCCACCAAGGTGCCCAGGCGGAGTGAAGCCTCCATGTCCAGCTGTCGTGGGGAAGTAAGTGGACATATTATTTACAAGTTAAACTGAGTCCACGAGGGCGCTGAGTACGCTTGTTGAGGCGTCTTCCCCGAGTGACTCGACCACAAGCCTCGTGTTTATAACTGAGGTATTAGTGATGAGATCAACACAGAGGAGCAATACTAGCATAGATAAGGCCAAGGAATTAATAGTATTTAGTGTTGCTGTTGTAATTAGTAACATTCATAGTGCCAACAGTAGCAACATACTAGCAAGTGCATTCATACTAGCAAGTGCACTCATACCAGCAAGTGCACTCATACTAGCAAGTGCACTCATACTAGCAAGTGCACTCATACTAGCAAGTGCACTCATACTAGCAAGTGCACTCATACTAGGAAGTGCACTCATACTAGCAAGTGCACTCATACTAGCAAGTGCACTCATACTAGCAAGTGCACTCATACTAGGAAGTGTACTCATACTAGCAAGTGCACTCATACTAGCAAGTGCACTCATACTAGCAAGTGCACTCATACTAGCAAGTGCACTCATACTAGCAAGTGCACTCATACTAGCAAGTGCACTCACAGCAGCAGAAGCATTAATAGTTTCTGTTTAATAAATGCATTAATAGCTAAAGTAGAAGCTTTTGGTTTGTTAGTAACTCTGCTTTATGGCTGAGGATAGCAGCAGAAATAGGCCCTGAAACAGTAAGTTATAGCTAATGCAGCAGGAGAAGCTGGTGCTGAAGCAGGCTCCAATGGCTTCAGTAGCAGTTGCAGGTACTCGGTCTATTGTGGCGACAGCAACAGTAGCTACTTCTCAACATGTTGTCAGTTCAAGCAATAACGATAGACAATATGTGGATCGAATATCCAAATGTAATGTTGCTAACAGCGTGAGGGCGTTTCGTGGTTTGTGTGTCCATGTGTGTCCCTGTTGGTACAGTGACTGTGTCCCTGTTTGTACAGTGGCTGTGTACCTGTTGGTACAGTGACTGTGTCCCTGTTTGTACAGTGGCTGTGTCCCTGTTGGTACAGTGACTGTGTCCCTGTTTGTACAGTGGCTGTGTCCCTGTTGGTACAGTGACTGTGTCCCTGCTTGTACAGTGGCTGTGTACCTGTTGATGCAGTAAAAAGGGCCCAAGAGTGAGGTCAACTGAAACCATGCGACATGTGACCTCCTCACCAAGTGGCAAGTTTCACCCAATGTTACGATTAGTGTTGATTACGTACATTAAACCTAAGGTCAATCCGGTTAACTATGTACAGCAGGCTCTCACAAGCGGCCAGAGGCATGTGGTTCAGGAGGTCCTCTACTTCGTACCGTCCAGCGTCATCATGGTGACGTCAACGTAGACGAACAAAGGTTGCAATACATATGTGAAAGTTTGTTTATTGTCATCCATCCACTTGGAACAGTTTCTCCGTTGTAAGATATCGTATGTGACAGACGGGACGACTTCTTCAGTCAGTTGCTTAGTCGCTTCGTGTTCCGTGTAGGACCCAGTTAGCCTCGCGGGCTGTTTTGGGGGGATTTATCGTCCTATCCTGACCATTTCCAGCCGCTTTGAGGTTATTTCAGATCACTCGGCTACTGCAGCATGTTGCGAGAACAGCGAAATGCCGAACAACTAGTAGCTAGAAAACGGGCCAATGCACATAGCTGCTAGGTGACAGGCCCGTACAACTAGCGGCTATAAAGGTTTGTGAATCTATCGACTAGAACACAGATCCATGACACTAGCAACTAGGACACAGGACCTTAAAAGTAGCAGCTAGGACACAGGATCGTACAACTAGCATTTCTCACTTTTGTTCCTATCTGCTGATGGTAAAATGTCTATTACCTTGGTGTCCTATTTGTGCGTTGGGTCTGCCTGGGCGCCTGTTGTTGTGGTGGTGGTGGGGGTGTCCCCGGCGTTGTCCAGGTCTAGCAAACTCCCCTTGTCCAGCTGTTGTAGAGAAGTGTCAAGATTATTTACAAGTTAAACAGAACATGTTGGCGCTGCATGTACGCTTCTTGAAGCCTCTTGGCCGCAGGAGCATAATGTCCTGCCATCCTATAATTCCTGTTATCAGAGCAGGAAGCCTTGGGCTTATCAAGGACCCCCCCCCCTCCCCCAGGTCAGCAACTGACCTTTCCCAGGATGCTACACACAATAGTTGCCTAACTCCCGGGTGCCTATTTAAGGTGAATATAGGCATCAGGTGTAAGATACCCCCTAGGCCAACGATTGATCTTTCCCCAGGATGAAATCCACAACAGGTGCCTAACTACTGGGTTATTTATTGCTAGAACAGAGGGATCAGGAGTAGGGAAGCATGCCAACAGTTTCTGTCCTGCCTGGAGACTGAACCCGGGTCCCTCAATTGTGAGCCGGAGACGTAGACCACTGTGTCACAGGGACCCTTTCATAGTAATGTCTGAGATATCAATAATACCAACAACAATATGTTCTAGAACAGAAGAATTAAGAGGACTTGCTGTTGATGTACCAGACATGGTTACAGTGATGCTGTAATGTACCAGACATGGTTACAGTGATGCTGTGATGTACCAGACATGGTTACAGCGATGCTGTAATGTACCAGACATAATGTAATAGTTCACTGTTCTGCTGGGAAACGGTTGTTCTCTAAAATGGGGTAATTGTGATACAGTAGAGATTCGGATCTGTTTTGTGGTCGTGTGCTTTCGGCAAAATGTTGTGTGTAGAGCCAGAGCGACTGAGCTGTTGGGTTGTATCATCTCTCATTTGTCATGGCAATGGCCTGCAAGGGTAAGAAATCCAGAATATGGCTCTCTGATCCAAGCTTGGTGCATGGGAACAAGTTTGGTGCTTGGGAACAAAAGCTTGGTGCATGGGAACAAAAGCTTGGTGCTTGGGAACAAAAGCTTGGTATTTGGGAACAAAAGCTTGGTATCCATGAAACATGGGGGGGGTGGAGTCTCACTGTTACCATAATCCAGGGATGTGTGGGGGGGAGGAGGAGTTTTGGGTCCTGTACAGGGTCAAGAAGGGAGCCCAAACACCTCCCTCACATCCATGGTACCTGGAAGCATCGCTGTGACTGGACTGGTCGGTGCTTCAGCAGCGTGACTAAAAGCATCCTCGGGCAGGATCGTACTCTCCCAGGGGAAGGAGAGCCAGCTGGGCAGGTTTGAGGATAACAAGGGGAGAGTGAGAAGCTTAAATGGAGAGAGGGGAAAAAAAGTCCACTACGGGCTCACCATAGCCCGTGATACTTAGAACTTTTTGTTCCAGGTAGCGAATCTTAAACAACAACAACAACGAGAGAGGGGAGCATGCCCCGTGTCTGGTCTTGGACTAATTATAACAGTATTGGCATTGCCTCGTTAGTGTTTAAAGAGCAGGATGTCGTAATTTGATTAATAAACTCATGCTAATGAATTAAAATGAACTTTTATGTGTCAATCAATCGGTTGTACAGGTAAAGGGGGAGCGGGAAGTGGGGACAGACGGAAGAATAGTCTGCAGAGGAAACTTCGTAGTTGTAGAGAGTAGAGCCAGGGCTTAACCCAGCAGCAGGGCGAGGAGTCTTGGGTGGTGTACTAGAGACGACCGCACCTCCTAAAGCACCGAGGCCAAGAGGGCCACCCAGCAGCCTAACACTCCACCTGTACTTGTCTGGCACTCCACCATTACTGCATCACTCTCTCGAGGAGCCTTCCGGGGTATTTATTTTTTCTTGATCTTTGATTTTTTCGTTATCGCTTCTTGTCTGTACTAAGGTGACCGGGGGTATGGGGACTGTTTCCATTGTGTCGTCTTCCCACACTTCACGCCGGCATAATGATGGTGCCCATCCGGCCGTTTACGCATGCTGTAACTGTACCTGCTGCCTTGTCCTGTATGACGGACTGAACAAGGTAGCCCGGTGTTTTGGGTTGGAGCAAGTGCAGCGTCCGAGGCGGCGTGGGTGCTGCCTCAGCGCCGTCGTCTTCTTCACTGGAATTGTGTTCGACTTCCACATGTTCGTCTGAAGATGTATGCTCTTCTTTGTTCTGTGTCACCAGTAATCATAATGTATTTTTGTTGGGAACCGTTGTCAGCACTGTCTGGGTGTATGACGTCCCAGTCGTCCGTGGAGCGTCCGTCTGGGTGTCCGCTCCTGTTCTGTCCGCTGAGTGAATCGTCGTCGCCTGCTCTGTGTCGGTCTGGGGAGCTGTGGCTGTGTGGTTTGTCGCTGACCATTTGACCGACGTGATGTCGCTTGCTATCAGTAGCTCATTCACTGTTCTGCGCAACAGGTTATGGGCTTGTTGTGCTACTCTATCTACAAATGCGATAATAACTTCGATATGGATATTTTGGCTGGGTGTTGTCGTTCCTGATAATACAGTGTTTTGTTGTTGAGGTTCTTGTAGTCTCCCGGTCAATACGGATGTCTTCTATGTCTGGCTTGTTGAACTGGCTTGTTCAGGAACTGGTCCGGTCCGAGGTTCAAGGGCGTGACAGCCTGTCGGTTGGTGTTCGGTGGCGGTGGGGTGGTGGTAGCCTTTTCTTTGAGTTTCTTAAGATCCTCTTTCCTTTTATTACTGAGGTAGGAAGTGGCGGGGTTGTGTTCTCCACAGTTCGCACATTGTTTTGGTAGTGGCGGTATATTCCATGAAGGCAGTGTCTGGGATGCTCCCGGACGCAGGTTCAAATCCTCGTCACGGCCCTTGTGGATTTGTTCAGAGCAGGTAAGTTGGAAGTAAACAAACTGGTCAGAAGTTAATGAAGATTAAGGAGAGGACAGGTGCCACAAGGAGTGACCCCGCGGACACAGGTGCCACAAGGAGTGACCCCGCGGACACAGGTGCCACAAGGAGTGTCCCCGCGGACACAGGTGCCACAAGGAGTGACCCCGCGGACACAGGTGCCACAAGGAGTGACCCCGCGGACACAGGTGCCACAAGGAGTGACCCCGCGGACACAGGTGCCACAAGGAGTGACCCCGCGGACACAGGTGCCACAAGGAGTGACCCCGCGGACACAGGTGCCACAAGGAGTGACCCCGCGGATCCAGTATTATCCAGGTCTTCCACCCGGGCGGTATATAAGCCAGTGTAGTGAGTTCTCACGAGGATACAATACGAGACGAGTTATTATAAATGGTGGCCGCATACTGGAATTAATCTGATTCTCAGAACAAGGTGAGTGGTTCTCAGTGGTTCCCCGTACCGCCTCGGTTGGTTACTTGTACATCAGGGAGGATCTAAGTTCACACAGAGGACTCGCTAGATTATGTGGCGAGTGGACAAATTATTTGTGTGTGTTGCTTCAAGAATTTGTAATCTTCGAGTTTATCTATTATGCAATAGATAATAGACTGTAGATGTAACCTTCGGCTAAACACAGATGCCGAAGAAATATAAGAAAATTCACTTTTGCAAACAGAGTGGTAGACGGTTGGAACAAGTTAGGTGAGAAGGTGGTGGAGGCCAAGACCGTCAGTTGTTTCAAAGCGTTATATGACAAAGAGTGCTGGGAAGACGGGACACCACGAGCGTAGCTCTCATCCTGTAACTACACTTTGGTAATTACACTTAGGTAATTACACACACATACACAGTCTCTCTTATAAATACAGCTTGCCATTACAGGTGGAACTTTAACGTACTATACTTCTAAACTAAAACAATTATATCATGTTGATTGTTTCTATAGTAACACAGAATGTAATCTGAAAAAATTAAATTAAAAAAAATCTAATTCTGCAGTAACCGGGGTAAGAAAAAAAATATTTTAAGTCATTTGTCCCCACTTTCAATGAGGTGCCGACACCAGCGTTTATCATGAGCCAGAGTGCTGAAGCGTAATGCTCACAACACAGCACCTCAGCACGATGATTTGCATATGTCTAATGTTGATTTATGGCTTAATTTGTTGAGCCTTATGGCTGATTTCCCAGGCACAGAAGAACCTTAGCGGCAACAAAGCACAGCCAGCCAACGAGCCAGACGTGGAGTCATTCCTCTTACCATGCACACACACACACACCTGGCCCACAAGCCCACAGCCAGCCAACTAGCCAGCCAGCTTGCAAGCCTGTCAGTCAGTTAACTATCGAAGCAGCTATTCAGCCTGCCAGACAGCCAGCTAGGGACCCAGCCAGCCACCCAGACAGCCAGCCAGCTACAAACCCAGCCAGCCAGCCAGCTAGGCACCCAGCCAGCCAGCCAGCTATTCACCTAGCTAGCCAGCCAGCCAGCCAGCTACGCACCCAGCCAGCCAGCTATACACCTGGCCAGCCAACCAGCCAGCTATACACCTGGCCAGCCAGCCAGCCAGCCAGCCAGCCAGCTAGGAACCCAGCCAGCCAGCCAGCCAGCTAGGCACCCAGCCAGCCAACCAGCCAGCTATACACCTGGCCAGCCAACCAGCCAGCTATACACCTGGCCAGCCAGCCAGCCAGCCAGCCAGCCAGCCAGCCAGCCAGCCAGCTAGGAACCCAGCCAGCCAGTCAGCCAGCCAACAGTCCATGACCGCGCCAACTTACGGAAATTATTGCGGTGCGGGTTGCCTCCGTGTCCACGGTTGAAGCCAACTATAAAAAAAGTGTTGTTTAGTATCCAACCAAATTATATCTATTAGATCATATATGAATTAAAATCTAAAATTAATAAAATATATATTGGTAAACAAGACTAATAAGAGCATAGTATGAACAGTAATGTGAACACTAGTAATGAGAACATTAGTAATTTGAACACTAGTAATGAGAACACTTGTTAACGCTAGTACACTAGTTAACATACCTACGCAACTCAGTTACGCAGGTATGTGTGATGAGTTACGTAGGTATGTGTGATGAGTTACGTAGGTATGTGTGATGAGTTATGTAGGTATATGTGATGAGTTATGTAGGTATGTGTGATGAGTTATGTAGGTATGTGTGATGAGTTATGTAGGTATGTGTGATGAGTTATGTAGGTATGTGTGATGAGTTATGTAGGTATGTGTGATGAGTTATGTAGGTGTGTGTGATGAGTTATGTAGGTATGTGTGATGAGTTATGTAGGTATGTGTGATGAGTTATGTAGGTATGTGTGATGAGTTATGTAGGTATGTGTGATGAGTTATGTAGGTATGTGTGATGAGTTACGTAGGTATGTGTGATGAGTTATGTAGGTATGTGTGATGAGTTATGTAGGTATGTGTGATGAGTTATGTAGGTGTGTGTGATGAGTTATGTAGGTATGTGTGATGAGTTATGTAGGTATGTGTGATGAGTTATGTAGGTATGTGTGATGAGTTATGTAGGTATGTGTGATGAGTTATGTAGGTATGTGTGATGAGTTACGTAGGTATGTGTGATGAGTTATGTAGGTATGTGTGATGAGTTATGTAGGTATGTGTGATGAGTTATGTAGGTGTGTGTGATGAGTTATGTAGGTATGTGTGATGAGTTATGTAGGTATGTGTGATGAGTTATGTAGGTGTGTGTGATGAGTTATGTAGGTATGTGTGATGAGTTATGTAGGTGTGTGTGATGAGTTACGTAGGTATGTGTGATGAGTTATGTAGGTATGTGTGATGAGTTACGTAGGTATGTGTGATGAGTTATGTAGGTATGTGTGATGAGTTATGTAGGTATGTGTGATGAGTTATGTAGGTATGTGTGATGAGTTATGTAGGTATGTGTGATGAGTTACGTAGGTATGTGTGATGAGTTATGTAGGTATGTGTGATGAGTTACGTAGGTATGTGTGATGAGTTACGTAGGTATGTGTGATGAGTTACGTAGGTATGTGTGATGAGTTATGTAGGTGTGTGTGATGAGTTATGTAGGTATGTGTGATGAGTTATGTAGGTATGTGTGATGAGTTATGTAGGTATGTGTGATGAGTTATGTAGGTATGTGTGATGAGTTATGTAGGTGTGTGTGATGAGTTACGTAGGTATGTGTGATGAGTTATGTAGGTATGTGTGATGAGTTACGTAGGTATGTGTGATGAGTTATGTAGGTATGTGTGATGAGTTATGTAGGTGTGTGTGATGAGTTATGTAGGTATGTGTGATGAGTTACGTAGGTATGTGTGATGAGTTACGTAGGTATGTGTGATGAGTTATGTAGGTGTGTGTGATGAGTTATGTAGGTATGCGTGATGAGTTATGTAGGTATGTGTGATGAGTTATGTAGGTATGTGATGAGTTATGTAGGTATGTGTGATGAGTTATGTAGGTGTGTGTGATGAGTTACGTAGGTATGTGTGATGAGTTATGTAGGTATGTGTGATGAGTTATGTAGGTGTGTGATGAGAGGAGGCATATTTAAACAGGACCCGCTTAGTTTCAGTCAGAAGTGAGGGATGTAAAAGTGAGCCGTCTAATATTACTAACAGAGAGGGTGAGAGTGAGGTGCGTGTGTGTAAGTGTGTGTGTGTGTGTGTGTGTGTGTGTGTGTGTGTGTGTGTGTGTGTGTGTGTGTGTGTGAATGATGTGCGTTTGTCAATTGATTTTCTGTGTAAATATTAGTGTGTGGAATTTTTCAGTGAAATGAATAAGTGAGTGAGTGAGCGAGGACTTACACTGCCTCTTTACTCTGGTGTGGAGCTGCTGGTGTTCCTGGTGCGTGTCCTCCACGCCCGCGGCCGCCCACACCGCCACCCACAACACCAACACCGCCGCCACACTCTTCATCCTCTCCGTACACACACCGGGTCAACACCTGTTGGTACACACACCTGGTCAACACCTGTTAGTACACACACCTGGTCAACACCTGTCAGTACACACACCTGGTCAACACCTGTTGGTACACGCACCTGGTCAACACCTGTTGGTACACACAACGGGTCAACACCTGTTGGTACACGCACCTGGTCAACACCTGTTGGTACACACACCGGGTCAACACCTGTTAGTACATCCACCTGGTCAACACCTGTTGGTACACACAACGGGTCAACACCTGTCAGTACACACACCTGGTCAACACCTGTTGGTACACACACCTGGTCAACACCTGTCAGTACACACACCTGGTCAACACCTGTTGGTACATCCACCGGGTCAACACCTGTCAGTACACGCACCTGGTCAACACCTGTTGGTACACACACCGGGTCAACACCTGTTAGTACACACACCTGGTCAACACCTGTTGGTACACACACCGGGTCAACACCTGTTAGTACACACACCTGGTCAACACCTGTTGGTACACACACCGGGTCAACACCTGTCAGTACACGCACCTGGTCAACACCTGTCAGTACACGCACCTGGTCAACACCTGTTGGTACACACACCTGGTCAACACCTGTTGGTACATCCACCGGGTCAACACCTGTCAGTACACGCACCTGGTCAACACCTGTTCCAAACAAGAAGAGAACCCATCCCACATAGTGTTAGTACCTATAGTGACTGTAGGAATATATCCAAAATATTGACTATGGAGCCCAAAAATAGTCAATGTTTTGTGTTATTAATACTCTAAACGACATGAAAAATACACCAACCTAACTTTCCGGGAGATTGAATTGACACACCCACAGTTCGAGTCCAGGTGGGGCTGACACACCCACAGTTCAAGTCCAGGTGGGGCTGACACACCCACAGTTCGAGTCCAGGTGGGGCTGACACACCCACAGTTCGAGTCCAGGTGGGGCTGACACACCCACAGTTCGAGTCCAGGTGGGGCTGACACACCCACAGTTCGAGTCCAGGTGGGGCTGACACACCCACAGTTCGAGTCCAGGTGGGGCTGACACACCCACAGTTCGAGTCCAGGTGGGGCTGACACACCCATTGCAGCAGGAGGTAGCCCAGGTGACCGCAGGTATATTCTCTCTCCGGGAGACCCCACAGGACAAGATTGAGAAGGTGCAATCATTTGTAGAGTCAGGCAAGCCTGAAGATTTGGAAGGTTGCACCAAAGAGCAGTTGAGGCAGATAGCGGAGACATGTGATATTAAGGTGAAGTCATCCAAAGTGGCCGGAATGAAGGAGGAGATCCTGAGGCTGTTGAGAACTAGAAATGAAGCGGCAGAACAAGGAGACCAGAAAGGAGTTGGAAGTGGAAAGGAGGATGATGGACAAGACGAAGTGAGATCCCAAGGATCAAGTAGGAGTAGTCGCAGTAGCAGGAGCAGCTGGAATAGGAGCCTGGAAAGATTTCAGCTAGAGCTCCAGATGCAAAGAAAACGTGAACATGGAGGCAGTGCCAACTGGAGAAGTTGAGGTTGGAACTTCAGATGAAAAATGAAGCAGAAATATAGGAAAAAACTAGAGTAAGAGAACTGGAGTTGGAACATGAAAGAGAAAAAGAGAGAACAAAACAAATGGACTGGACATCAATGACCCTTTGCTACGCTGACGACGTAACCCAACAGATCTCGGACTACACTATTAACGCCCTCACACGGAAAGCACAGGAAGAAATAGACAATGTAACCCTCTGGGAACACGATTGACGGATAAAAGCAAACCCCAGCAAGTCTAAAATAACATACTTCTTCTACAACAAATGACGTAACCCTGCCCCAGTAAAACTCTACTCTCAATCACCAGAAGCAACCCAGATCCCAAGAGTCAACAACAGCACAGTACTTGTACTCACATTAGAGTCTAACCTTCGTTTTCACACACATATAACACCCAAGAAAGCTATAGCCTCAAAAGCTCTATCAAAACTCTTCCCACTCAAACATGCCTCCCAAGCCACCAAGCTCTATCTATACAAAACACTTATTCTCCCACTCCTAACATATGCACCGATCCCACTCTCACTTGCAGCACCAACAAATAGGAAGAAGCTCCAGCGTACCCAGAACAGGGCTCTGAGATGGGTGTTCGATACCCACTGGCAGGACTTCACCACTAGTGAGGCCCTGCGTGAGTGGGCGAACATCCCACCTCTGAACATAACCTGGGATACTATGGGGAAGAAACAGATCAATAGAATTCTCACCTATCATGACAACTACGACGCCTTCCTCAGAAACGTCCTAAGTAGACCCAGACATACGCACAACCTCTTTAACCTGATCGACGATCCACCTCCTGCTCCGTCCTTTACATGACCCCTCTCCTCTAATATACCACTACTCAAATCACCTAACTTCCAACTACATAGCCTCCTAACTCTTCTCCCCCCCCTCTTTAGGGGGGGGGACCTGCTAGCTCCCGTTTTCTGGTGCCTTGGGTGGGGCACGATGCTGATTAGCAACTCCAAGACCACATCTGGTGTGAGCCTCCAGGGCACACCCAGCTGGGGGCTGCTGTCTCCGTGGGTGCTCAGAAAGACGAAATGTTGTCACAAAGATCCGATTCCTTGCCTTCACTGCCTAGTCTGGTCATAACGATTTCAATGCCATGCAGCTGGGTCTAGCCCTGGCACTTTACCTCATACTGTAAACCCTTCCTCTCACCCCCATTAATTCTTCCCCTATCCCCACTTTCACGCTTATCCAACAGGGTATCTTGACCTATATTTAATTCATTCATTCATGAGGAAGAGTTGAACGGGAAGAAATGGAGTTGTGTAGTAGAGCAGAACGGGAGAAGAGGAAGATAATGATAATGCAAGCATGGAGGAGTGGAAGAAAATCGAAGGTTCGATGGAAGTCGAAGAGGATGAAGTTACAGATTAATGTGGAGATGAAAGAAGGAATCGTCGATGAAGACGAGAGAGAGTGAAGTATGATGACGAGAGAATAAAGTGTAATGGCGACAGACCGAAGTATGAGGACGACAGAGGAGGTACGGATAATAAATGTCTACCTCTTGTGGAATGCAAGAAGAGGAAACGGAAGGAGGAAACAGTAAGTAGAGAAAATGATGGAGCGAAGGTGTCCAACACGGTCGGCCTAGCCAAGGTGCAAGAGAAGTTGGGTCACTTAGAAGAAGACCATGTTTCCACCGTGTGATGAACCAAATGTTGCAAGGTGCAACGGGTTGTGCAGTATACGTCGACGGTATTGTGGTATTTGCAGACTCCTGGAGGGAGCACGTAAATATACTAATCGGCCGAACAAATCAATTAGAGAGGGCCAATATGACGATTAACATGGCGAAGAGATAGAGTGGAAGAGCAAGACTGGAGTACTTAGGTTATGTTGTAGGGCAAGGTGACGTTGCTCCAGTGAGGACGAAGGTTGAAGCCATCGACAATTTCCCAGTACCCAAAGGAAAGAAAGAATTCTTGAGGTACTTAGGGATGATCGGATATTGCAGCAAGTTCTGTAAGAATTTTTCCACTGTAACCACGCCTATGACGAGCTTGTTGTCTAAGAACAAGAAGTGGGAATGGAACGGAGTAGCGCAGGGGGCATTTGAGAAAATCAAGAGATTATTTACTGAGGCGCCTGTGTTAGTATCTTCGGATTCTGGAGCACCGTTTGCTTTGTTCGTGGATGCCAGTGATGTAGGAGCTGGAGTACAGCCAGTGATGTAGGAGCTGGAGTACAGCCAGTGATGTAGGAGCTGGAGTACAGCCAGTGATGTAGGAGCTGGAGTACAGCCAGTGATGTTGGAGCTGGAGTACAGCCAGTGATGTAGGAGCTGGAGTACAGCCAGTGATGTTGGAGCTGGAGTACAGCCAGTGATGTAGGAGCTGGAGTACAGCCAGTGATGTAGGAGCTGGAGTACAGCCAGTGATGTAGGAGCTGGAGTACAGCCAGTGATGTAGGAGCTGGAGTACAGCCAGTGATGTTGGAGCTGGAGTACAGCCAGTGATGTAGGAGCTGGAGTACAGCCAGTGATGTAGGAGCTGGAGTACAGCCAGTGATGTAGGAGCTGGAGTACAGCCAGTGATGTAGGAGCTGGAGTACAGCCAGTGATGTAGGAGCTGGAGTACAGCCAGTGATGTAGGAGCTGGAGTACAGCCAGTGATGTAGGAGCTGGAGTACAGCCAGTGATGTTGGAGCTGGAGTACAGCCAGTGATGTAGGAGCTGGAGTACAGCCAGTGATGTTGGAGCTGGAGTACAGCCAGTGATGTAGGAGCTGGAGTACAGCCAGTGATGTAGGAGCTGGAGTACAGCCAGTGATGTAGGAGCTGGAGTACAGCCAGTGATGTAGGAGCTGGAGTACAGCCAGTGATGTAGGAGCTGGAGTACAGCCAGTGATGTAGGAGCTGGAGTACAGCCAGTGATGTAGGAGCTGGAGTACAGCCAGTGATGTAGGAGCTGGAGTACAGCCAGTGATGTAGGAGCTGGAGTACAGCCAGTGATGTAGGAGCTGGAGTACAGCCAGTGATGTAGGAGCTGGAGTACAGCCAGTGATGTAGGAGCTGGAGTACAGCCAGTGATGTAGGAGCTGGAGTACAGCCAGTGATGTAGGAGCTGGAGTACAGCCAGTGATGTAGGAGCTGGAGTACAGCCAGTGATGTAGGAGCTGGAGTACAGCCAGTGATGTAGGAGCTGGAGTACAGCCAGTGATGTAGGAGCTGGAGTACAGCCAGTGATGTAGGAGCTGGAGTACAGCCAGTGATGTAGGAGCTGTATTGACACAGAAGGAGGACGAAATTTATCGCCCTGTGTCTTTCTTTTCGAAGAAGTTTGTCAAGCATCTGGGATTGTAGAGTACGGTCGAGAAGGAGACGTTGGCATTGGTCCTGGTATTAAAACATTTTGAGTATACGTAAATGGGGAAAGTCACCGGTTACTGTATATACAGATCCCAATGCCCCTGGTGTTCCTGAGCAAGATGAAGCACGCAAATCA